TTCAATTATATACAATACTTCCATATCAATGATATACAACATCTTTATATTCTCAAATAAAACAGATATGCTTTATCACATTATTATTGCTTAAAATATTTTATCATAATTCATAGCACTTTTGAATACTTGAGAAGTTTAGTGATTCAAAAATTTACATCTTACAAACAGATAAATAGCATATAAACTCCATGATATAATAAATCCCCATCATCTCGATAAAAAATTTTGAAAGCAAATGCACTGAATAGCTGCAAATTTATTTTCATCTGCTTTATAAAAAGAAATGGTATAGGGATAATCATGACTTTCAAAAGTATCAAATGCAGAAAAACAAGAGATATTCTTCTCCTAACAAGCTAATTAAGAGCAAATCGAATGTAATTGTTGATTACCGCCATTCTGCACATCATTTCTAACAGATCATCATTAATATGTCAGTTAAACAACGAGTTTGTGGTAACAACACAAAGTAACCAGTCATTTTCTAGAGTACACAATATTTCAAGCACTGCTTAGAAATTTTTTGTGACTATAAAAAAAAGAAAAACCGAATATTTCTCGAGAACACACAGTACTGTTCATCATTTCGACCAGATCACCATTAATATACTTAATTGTTATCTTCAAAATTTTTCTTCGCGAATTCTTGATAATATGAGGATAAAACCTGCAAAATTTAGTACTCATTACTTTGAACACGAGAGAATCTGCAAATTCAATAGCAAAATAAATTTTAGCAGGAATAAGTTTCATAACCACCTTCCAAGCTTTAGGAGCCATGAAACCTTCTGGTGGCTCGATACCATCACGAGCATATTTTCTCATTTTCGATCCGCTGATGAAAATGAAATCGTCACTTCGAGATGGATCGAAAAATGCCATTTTGCCCTGAGTTTTATCGTATGCTGCCACACGGAATAGTACGACATCCAGATTTGGTAAACCCGGAGCCATAGACAATACCTCAAAAAATATTTCATAGACATAACTATATTCTAGTACTAGGTTTTAAAATGCAGATATTGGGTCTACAATAATTGACAATTAATAAACAAAAATTATCATCACCTTTGAACCGTGCGTAGGATCGTACAAATAATCACCAGTATCAGGATGTTGTATCCCCGCAGGATCTCGACCTACGATGTAAGTTGTAACACCTGCGGCTAATCGAGCTCTAGCGTGCCACTGCACCTGAAGTTATAATCATAATGCAGAAACCTATTAAAAAATTAAAACGGAAAGTAGAAAACATACCTACCTCTGTTGGCCCAGCATAGAGCATCGGAGATGGAAAAATCGCAAGGACAGTCCACTCTGGATTTAAAACTCCGTCTTCCAAAACTGCATCATACTGTTTCATACGTATATTCAAAGGTACGTCATCCTCCTCAAAGTTGTATGAAACAGAAGATTTTTTGATTTTAAATATAATGTTAAAATTTGAAATAAACTTAGAATATTGAAAGAATTCATTTGAAGAACGAAAACAAAAGCATATCTATAAATCATAATATAGACCTTTGTCCAACCACCTAATGGATGCAGAAGTAACATAGGATTCTTATATTTTGTTAGCAGCTGTTTCCTTGTATCTTGCATAAGAAGTGCATGCCCATTATGAATAGGATTTCGTAATTGAAAAGCAAAGACTACATCGCAGTTAAATCTCTTGAAAACTTTTCGCAATTCTAATGGCGATAATCTGTATTGATCTAAACCATCATCATACTGGATCCGCTTTAGTACCTGTATTTTTAGTAAAGAAATTCAAAACTGCTGTCTATAAGTTCAAATGAACTAGTGCTGCCTTTAAATCCTTTTTTAGGACACAAATCACGAAGTGAATTATTAAATGATCGTTGCAAAAAATAACCTGTAAATCCCCACCAAGTAACCAATTTCCACTTTCTAAAATCTGTTTTATTGCTGGATGTCTACAATCATTGATTCCAAACTGCCGCGCAATACGCTCTTCTTTTCTATGTTCAAATATTTCACCATCTTTTAGGATAGCTATGACGTCATCATTGTAAATAAGCGAGATTTGAGACGATACTTTATCGCCTGAAAAAATTGCAAATAACATGAAGTAACCTAAATATGACAATGATAATGATATGCAATCTTAGTAATAACAACTAAGATAGTTAATACAGCATACTTCTAACACTCGAAAAAATGCCAACCATCCATAAGTTTGACTTTTGTTTCATCGTTAATTGGTAATACAATCGGTATTGACTGATTCAAAGGCTCGTTGAGTGACCAAAACAAATCATCCGCACTGTCTTGTGGCAGTTGTACACCAGGAATAGAGCACTTTTTCTTTAAATCCAATAAAAGACCATGATGTAGGCATTGTAAATATTGACGTTCACGCATGAATCCAGGCAAAGGAGAAGCCCAGCCTTCTGCCAATACCCAAAAATAAGAAACATAAACAATTTTTCCAGTAAACAAGAACTTGATAAGTATCTAAAAATATGCTGTGCGTATCACTTATAGCAATTTTTAGATGATTTGTTAAGGCATAAATATCAACTGTAAATGAAAATAAATATTGAAACCTGTAGCCATTCAACATCAATTTTGGACAGTTGTACTGCTGGAAACTGGTTAACTTGCTGAAGCAACTTGGCTTTCAACTCCTCATCAGCATAAAGCTCTCGAATAGGAGGTTGAGATATCTGCTCATATGCTTTCATAGGTATTACATTCTAAAAATTTAATAGTTCTTTACTGTTAATGAAAAATTCGTCATAGGCAAGTGAAACAAATTAAACTACCGACTGTCAGAATAGAATATTCTGAGATATTTAATTACCTTCTGAAATAAGAAACTCAACACTTTCTTAACGGATTCTGTTTCAGATTCGACACCAGATTCAAGTATAAGATCAGGTACTTCTGGAGCCTCATAAGCACTATCAATTCCAGTGAAACCTTTCAGCTCTCCAGCACGCGCTTTTTTATACAGATCTGTAATTTAGTATGTCATAAGAACTATCTAGTAAATGTATGCAAAAAAATGAATCTTTTCAAAGAATACCACAGTGAAACTTGATGCTTGAAAGTAAATAAAGACAAGACTTACTTTTAGGATCACGAAGTTCGCAAATTTTTAGTGGTGTGTTGACGTACACTTCAAAGAAAGGTAAATTGTCCTGAAAATCAAAATACAGTTTATACTGAATTATGCCTAATAAAATACTCATTAAACTAAGTAGTGAAGCATACTTCATTATGAATAAATCTTGCATTTTCTCGATCGCATTTATATGGGCTAATGAATGAAGCAAGAACAACAATTCCCATATCGGCAAATAATTTAGCAACTTCAGCAACACGCCGAATATTTTCTTGCCTTTCTTCTTTTGAAAATCCAAGGTTTCTACACAACCCATGACGCACATTGTCACCATCCAAAGCATAAGCCGGAATACCAAGCTACAACAGACTATGTAAGGATGCTCAACTAATGCATAATATGCAACATACCTAAAAACAACGTTATAATCTCAGCAAATGATAAACCTCGGTCAAAATTTTTTCTACTGCGAAAGACACTGTTGTTTTGCCTGCTCCAGATAATCCAGTAAACCATATAGTACAACCTCGAAAGCCTGCATGACGTCCCAGAACTTTGGCACGTTCTTCTCGTTCAACTTTATGCTGATGAAAGGTTACATTGGTTGCACCAATAGCATGACTCTTAAATAATTGTAAAACTTTAAATTCCGATATGCGGCTAAAAAACATTTATAAGTTCAAAAAAATTGAAAAAGAAATGATAAAATTGATCAGATATTAAGTTAATTTAAAAATTAAAGATAAATTTTTTTTTCACTAATTCAGAGTTAATAAACTATGCAGATTAAGCCCTGCATATATTCTTCTTACCAAGACAAGTTCCCTGCTTCGTTTTTCAGGAGATAGAGCATTTGAAGGAGTTGCTAATGATGTTCGCATCTTCTAAACCAAAACCTTTTCTAGCACGAATGAAATATTGAAATAAACCTAATTTGTAATACAAGATTACCAAAATGAGACTTCTAAAATAATTTTAGAAATGATCAAATCTAAACTTTTCGAATACTTTACAGAAATACACAGGAATGTAGCAGAAAATAAAAAAAGTAATAGATGAAAAGATAGACTGCAGATAAGATACAAATTAAATAGACCACATAATTCACTCTTTCATCTAATAACAAGTAGTGTTGCTGCATAGTCTAACATGGTGAGGTCATTGATATGATAAGGTAAGACCAGAAAACAACAAATAAAGATCACAACAGTTAAATGATGTAGAAAAATAGAAAAAGAAAGTCAAGAAGATGAAAATTAATGACTGCTTATAGCTTTAGCTAAAATAAATAATGAAAGAAGAGGTACTCAGATCAATCAAATTCATTATAATAATGTACAAATATATCTGTTTAATATATCAAGTACTACTTGCAAACTAAGGAAATGTAGTTCTGACAAATGAAAAACGGAATTTGCAGCAAATAATTCTTCAAATTCTATTCTTTCTAGTAAATGCAATAGTTGCAAACACACAAAACACACACATTACATGCAAATACGAGAAAAGGAATAAAGTGTCAGCCACTTCCAACTATCCCACTACCTATTTTCAAATAAACCACTATAATACATACTTCCTATTCTTAATGTTACACTTTCTTGACTAAATTTTCTATATCTTGCCAGAATAAATTTTTGCTTCCTGACTTACTTTTTTTTTTAAATTAAACTCAAACTGCTTCACTACCAATAAATTCATATACTAATTACTATGCTTGATTGCATAAGCACGCACTTGCACCACTACTAGCATTACCTTATTCTTCATAATTATATTAAAATTGTAAAGAATTCCCGCAAAAATTTTTGTAATTTTCAAAAAAAAAAAGGAAAAAATGCCACCATTTTTTATAGAACTCCTAGTTTAGCTTAACTTATGTAAAAGCAGCCTATATTTTCTCAATTTGCTGCAAGTATCACACACCAAAGCAAAAAATATGATAAATGTTCTTAATCAATACAAAGTAATAAGTTAATAATCTCTTATTAAATCATACCGATAATGATTTCATACTTCATATCTTAAGAGAAGCAAACTGGTAGTGATTCCCCTTCTATCTAGTTTGTATCAGTAAGAAATATTTTCTTCATTACCGTAAAGTTTTGGAAATTAGATAAAGTACAAAGAAATAAATACGTTAGGCCTACTTCTGGATTCTAAAAATACTTCACACCTAAACTGATTTTAAATTAAATTTATACTTTGTACCTGGACAGATCACAGCTTACTCGTCCGTTTTTTATATCTCTGACATTTTAATTTAATTTAAAATGACTATGATGCATCATAAACTATACCTGCTAAATGCTCGTTCAGAAGTTTAAAAGTCACTTCAAATTCAATGTTATTTTTCAATTGCTAGAAATGGAATAAACAAATGATTAAAAAATAATGTAAAAATTAATATTGTGTTTCTTACATGAAATGAGAAAGTGAAAACGTGCTTCTATGACAAGAATGAATTTAATAAAACTGAGTGGCATATGTACCAATTTCATACCTTCATCTAATGACCTCTATACCTCTATTGAAACGAAACTTTACAGATGATACTCATTTAATCATAACTAATTATTAGATTATCAGATCAATTCTTTCATGATTGCCATTTCTACCTGACGACAACACTTATGAAACAAAAGCATACTAAATTAGGAAAGCATAACATTGTGACAAGAAATTTGAGCTTTATGGATTGTACAAAAAATATCTTTGATAAGTTTTTCGTAAACATTTCGGAAAAAAATTAGAGATAGAAATGAGAGACGAAAATAGGTTTGTAAATATACATGCATTTTTCTATCAATTCCAAAAAGTTATTGTAGTAGTTTAGCACAAAAAAGAGCAAAGTACATTGATTATAATACATAAATGTAAATGAATTTATCAAAATGGAAAAAAGGACAGAGCGAACAGAAAGTGAGCAAAAAGTATTCACAAATTTTGCCTAAAATAAGGCAGCTAAGAAATGTTACTAATATAAGTGAAGTGGAATGCAGTTGTCCGTCCAACTAGATTAAAAATATGCAATTCAGAAAGAGTAATGAAAAAAATACATAAATCAAAGATACCAATGATTTTAGGCGTTTCAGTGAAGGTGAACAATTTTTTGCTTGTTGAACAAGAGCTTGCCGCGTATAAGCTAACAAAGAGATGAATTTCCAAGTGGAAAAACTGATGATAGTGCGCAGCCAGCTGTGAAATATTGAATATCCACAAATTAGCTAAGATAGCGAGAAAGTAGTCGACGAATACGAATGACGTGACGTGTATTATGACTCATCAAGCAGTACTTACTGTAATGAATTGAATCTCTGGCGTTAAATACACTCAGATCATAGTAATTATGAACGATTTCTTACCTTAAAAATTAAACTAGGACTAAGAACCGTTTCCTGACACTCTAACATTGTGTGTGTCATATCACTTTATGTTCGAAATCGACTATCTTTTGAAAAAATACCCATAAAAATTTCTTGGCACGATTTTCCTCATTCTTATAATTAATGAAAATGACAGGAATCAAACAAGCATATTTGCTATCGCCATTGAGTAACTAATTTTCAAAATTAGAACTAGTTTGATTGGTATTTGAAAAGATGCAAATGGAGCTATTAAAAGCTGACTGAATTTGGTTATCTTCAAATTTCATTCACGGACTCACAACTAAGAAAATTTGTGGATCATAACTGCTACGCAACAAACAATAGTAACACATATGGTAACAATACTTTGTAACATACGTAGTTTTGGCATATCGTTAATCTATTAATACCAGAGCTCAAGATTCTGCAGCCAGTGTTTTCACACATTAACTTTACTTTTCTTAATGTAATGCAAAAAAATAATTTAATAATCGAGATAATCCAACTCTAATTGTAACAGTTATCATTAAACAATTTTATAGATCTTTTATACAAAAACTGAAAGAATATCAATACAATGACAGCAAACAAAATAGTCATAGATACATCTCCGTAGCAAAAATTCACCTATATGATGTAAGTGACATTAGCTGAAAAAGGCAAAAGCTTCTACCCTCAAAATAGTGACACAGTTAAATAATGAATAGAATAGTAGTACTTAATTTTCAATTTGCTATCACAGAACTACTGAGATTATAGAGATAATCTCACATTATTTGAGTAAAGAAAAAAATGAAAAAAATAAATTAGCTTTTCAGTTTACAACAGAACTAAAACAAAGCTAGTTACTTCACTTCAAAATACATTCCAACTGAACATCCTTCCAATAACCTCACCAGATAGTTTTTCAAAAATATCATTCAAAGTTTATATAACATTAATCAAAACATAGACATGAAATGAATTTAAAATACACCGAACATATGAGAGTTTAGTACTAAAATTGCATTGGCCATTTGATCAGCTTTAATTTTCAGCTAAGAAATGTTACTGATAAAAGTGAAGTAGAATGCAGCAGTCAAGCTAAATTAAAAATATGAACTTGAAATAGAACAATGAAAAAAAAATACATAAATCAAACTTATCACAAGAATTTCACACAAATTTCTGCTCCTCAGTAAAAGTGATGTTTGCTGGAGGAACTTGGATGGGTCTATCCAGATTAATAACACCTACTTCATACGTGTTGGGTACGAAAGTTCTGAACTGTGGAAGCCTTATAACTTCACCCAATTTGTTGTTACAATAATGCAATATTTGCAGATATGGTTCTGGATTATTGGGAATGCCAGGAATCCAATCAATGTCCTCACCACATCCATCTAACTGGAACGAACCATCTTCGCTTGTAAATGTAACTCTAAATGCGCAAAATTCAAACTAATGGAAAGTCTAAATTTAAAAATCAATGTATGCAAACGAAACTAACATTGATGTGTAACTTTGATTTCATATCCATACGTTTGTTAGAATAAACACAGCAAAGAGCGTAGCAAAGCACTGAAGAATTTTCAAGGAACGAAAGGTGTTAGGATGATCTGCTGAAGAGAAGTTGCAGTTATTCAACGCAGCAAATGATGGATTTTTAATTGAGGACTAGAACAAGTTTTTTAAGCTAAAAAGAAAATAACTTTTTAGGCTTAAAACAAGACAAGCATCAATGAGTTAATAATTCTTAAGAAGTATGACAAACAAATTAAAAAAAACAGCTGAAACAGAATCAACTATGGATCTTTTATTATACTACCAGTGACTGATGTATGTAATTGTATTCTCTTAAAAAAAATGAGTTAAACATATACCTATTTCAGAAGAAACTAAAAAACTTTTAGATTCACATGACTACCACTTAGAAAAATTTTGAATGCTCATTAGATATCAAAATTTATTGTTAAATTATCACTAACAAAATTGATTCACAACACAAAAGCAATACTTTTGAAAATATCTAAGACTCTCACATCTGTTGATATCATTTTCCAGCACATCTAGTAGAAGATTTAGATTTTGATATTTACATGTGACTTCATAAACGATAAGAGAGATAAAGCATTCAATTCACGAACGCATGGCGGGCTAAGCTAGTAACTCACAGCTAATAACACTGTTAATCTTAAGTCAGAATTTTGAAAGACTAAAATTAGTTAAGCTGAAAGAAAACATTTTCTTTATATATTATAATGCGCAAGCCTGTGGACAACATTGCAATATTTTTCACGCATTGTCAATTAGTCAATTGTATTAAGTTAATAGAAAAGCTCACATTTTGACAAATTATGCGAAAGCGAAGTTTGTATTAAAATGAAACGGAAAGAAAAGACCTTATAAAGCTGGATATGCGAACCACCACCAGTTTATTTCCCTGTGATTTTCATGTTGACGCATCATTCTTTATAACAGAATATGAAAATTGTTTTATTTTATCACACTTATGATGGTTAATTTGAATTACTAATCTGCGATATCTAGTCTAGTCTAAGATCATCACAAAACTGAAAAAATTATTAGATTCAAAAGTAAAATGCTGAGTATATTTCCCTACGCCTTCTCTCCCCCTCCCCCTCACACGCACACACATATATTAAAAATGAAATCACTGAAGCAAATGTTAACGTATATTCTGTACCTATAATGATTACAATATACAGTAAGAGAACACTACTCATTTGAAAAGTATAATGAATGCAAAAAAAAAATGACTACTAGAAAAATTTTTCTGAAATAAGATGCACCGCATTCAATTTTTATGTCATTTATCAGTCATAATGAAAAAAAAAAAGTTTTGTTTATAAACTAACGTACTGAAAACTACATAAAACAAAACACAAATAAACTTACCCCATCAAATCATCAGGATCAATTATTTTTGCAAGTGACAACCCATCACGATCATAAACTCGTACTTCAACATTTAAATTTTTTGAAGGATCCTTATGGCAATCAACTTTACCATGCACCCATACACATTTATGTCCAGCATCAGCGAACTGAGCCAAAAAAAGTATGATCCCAGCGTTCACATATGTCAGAATTCTAGAACTTCTTTATCATTGTGCGCACACGAGATTTCAAATAAAATTGCTTAGAAACTCGATACTTTGATGTATTAGAGACTAAAAAAAGGTATTATATTTTGCAATATAAGGCAACATATTATCAAAACAGACAGCTTAAATAATAATCACATGCTAAATTTTGAAAAGCCCTCAAAAATATTAAAATACTATGAAAATGAGAGGGAAATTGTGATCAACATTCACTCCTATAAAGTTTAAATAAATCAGTGCCAATGATATAAGATCGACTCAAAGTCTGCAATGATAAAAACAAAATAAAACAATCAATTAAAAGAACCTTTTCATTGCAGGTGCTTTTTCCTTATCACGATTTAAAAATGACCAATCTGAAATAAAGACATTTATTTCTTGTCATAATTGATTAATATAATCTATCCCCGCGCATAAAAAACTTGATGTACAATTCAATCTCATCATCACGCTTTTATCACTATACATGAAGTGACTTTATAACAGCTGTAGAACTACTATTTATTCACTTTTATTAAAGATGATTTAAATTCAATCCACCATAAAAAGACTAGCATCTCCTTTTAAAAACTATTCTGGTAGACAAAAACCTCGAGTTTGAAAAACACAATCTTGCTTGATAATTATTCTAAAATTGTATTTGTGCTGATGCTTCAAAATTTTGGTTACATTTAGGAAAATAAATACCTTTATAAAACCACTCAACAACTTTACTAATGTACCATTTCTATAAACTTATTTCTATGCAGTTAGCAAGTGTATTAGCTAGAGAAATAACGAGGAATTCTAATCACCATCAGAACAAATATATTACTTAAAATTAGGATGAAACCGATGTATTTCTCCTGATGTAAGCAAAAAATACGAGATTTTGAGTCGCATACAAAAATAAACCAATATCTTATTTTGCAGTGTTACTTACAAATACGTAACAATAATAATAATAATATTCAGATGTAAGGTACAATTCATTTACTGGCTGCTCTGTGAGTAATCCAAATCAGTCATAAACAAATGGACGACACATCATTGTATTTGTTAAGTTACTTTTAATTTAAAAGTGCAAAAAACCTGTCTTCAACGTAGTTCTTGTTAATTGCTCATAGGAACGAAAATATTACATCATTCACTGGGAATGCAACAAGCAAATGTTGATTAAATAGTATAAGTTCGAACAAATTTGTTATTTAGCAAAAAGCCACAGCGTTATAAAATAGCAGATGAGTGATTACAGAGAAAAAATAAGTAACAAAACAACCAGTGATGAATGTGAGAATTTTTGCTCGAGTTAACGACCAGAGATTTGTAATGAATGCTACCACAACTTTTTGCTAAACACACACAATGCTAATTTCCTGCACTACCAAAAGTTCCATACAACATACACAAAGTCAAAAAATGAGCTGAGATTTCGACTTTTTAAGACATCAGATATTAACAAATGGTAAAGGATGTAGAATTGGGACCTTTTAAATTATCATTTGAAAGACCACTGAAAAGATCAATTAACTGTACTTATAACTAGATACACTGAGCAAGAAAACGATAGCAGTACGATGTTTGTAAGTTTAACGAACAATAAAAGTAACTGAACTACTGTTTAATAATAAGAATAAAATATAATTTCGGAATTCGTTTTTATAAACTTGTTTTTTGCTTTAAAAATTTGCGGCAAAACATCATTAAGTTTTGAATAATAAAAATTTTACATCCAAATATGACTAACATAAAATTTCTAGTAATTAGCCTCACATGAAAACAGCATATGAATCTGTGACTAATTTCTTGACAAGTAATTGTAACATCCATAATGTGGTAATATAATAAAGCACTGAGTATCGAGATCACTCCTCGTCTATGAAATACCAACTAATCTGAAATTATAGGGTGATTAATATGGTAATCATATGAATAAGGTACAAAAACCTGGGAAGCAGAGAATACAGTGATAAAATCGCTCTTCTTTGACTTACAGTAACGATGAACGCGAATCCTGAATATAAAATAATATTGTCAAAAAACCACCAGTAAGTAAAACAGTTGAGAGCAAAAAGATAGTTAAATATACATAAACACATGAGAAAGATCTGAGAACAAAAATTAGCCTCACATGAATTTCCATGATCATAGTATATTTTAAGAGTCAACTTTTGAAAATTGGAAATCAAAATAAAAATATACTAAGTAGTAAAGGAATGATAACCATCAATAGTATATGCTTTTGGCTAAGCACGCTATCGTACTTATCAAACGAACACACTTCTGGCCGGTTTTTGATGCCAGGAATCCAATTTTGTTCTTAGCACAACCTTCTTTGAATTATCCATTTTCGTTATCAACGGTTGTAAACGCTATTTTATCACTTTGATCGATTAAATCATGAAATTTTCTGCACTAAAAGACTCGTGTAGATTTTCCAGTACCTTCCTTCAACTACTACATTTATCGTTTTAATGCTTTTCATACGTTTTCCGATCAAATAGTAGAACTATTTCAATATAATTTCTAAGTACAACATTATTATTCTAACAATTTTGAGAGTTAATAACTACTATTATAAAAAGAGTGCTAAAACCGACAACCATAAATGTACAGAAATTAGTTGCATGTTGTACCAAATTAAACTAACTGATATTTTTTGCTTGCAACAAATGCTAAACACTATAGTATAAAAAAATGAAAAACTAACTCTTCGAGATTCATCCAAATCAATCAATTCGACTACAGTATTAAGAACGTGTCTGGTTCTTGTAACATAATAATTAACCAGTTGCCCACACACGATCTGTGCTGTTGGTAACAAAAGACATAAATAATCCCAAAAATAGAGTCACAGTAATGTAATGATTCATCTGAAAACTGAAGAATTGACGAGCGAAAATGCAGATGTAAAGTAAACGTAAAACTTATTGTTCGTGACAGAGAATGAAACATTGTTTGCAAAGGACAGAAAAATAGGATAGTGTTACCTGCGCACATTTTCTCAATTTTTTTTACCTAATATCTGTGAAGTAAAATACCTTTCTTACTTGTTCAAACTTTTTTATAGTTCGAAACAGCTACGACAATTTAAAAAATCACTGCAGAATTCCTGCATAATTGACTGGTCAAGAAGACAATACATACTAATTATGTTCATCACTCGGACAACATTTTTCACATTCTTTCTACTGCAGCACTAAATATCGGAAAATGTGTGCACTACAATTTATGCCATATATTAAAATAAGTCAAGTAAATTGGAGGGATTTCTGATGGTTTTTTGCAGAGTTTGAATTTATAATTTATGGATATTTTCAAAGTTAGTACATCGAAAATTTTTTACACTTTGCATAATATCATAAAGAAACAATTTTTATCACTAATTTATAATAATTTGAAATATTTGTGAAAATAACAGAATCTTCATGACAATAGTAGTTTATAGTGAATATACTAACAATAATAATGATATTAATGATCAATATGATAACTCTCGAGGTTAATCTGCTTTTGCGCATTATTGATTCCAGCATTGAATGGCCTTCCGGCACTCTGGCTGTACTCGTCTCGCGCTCAGATTTGTTGTGCTGGTCTCCGTTGCTTCATCTTTGCGGAATCCGTGGCGTTCATCAAATGAGATGCTACTTAACATCTTTTCAAGCACTATCGAATTGATATTTGCTTCGACGTGATCAAATGTACTGATTTCGTTCGTCTAGCGTTTATAGAAGTTCATCATTATCCCATCCCAAGTCATCACATACAGAATTATTTTCTTTCTGTCCTGAGTTTATTAGGCAATAGATCATAATTTTACTTTTCCTGTGTCTCAACTGTTGTCAAGTCCTGACCAGTGATGCCAGATTCTATCAAGATTACTCAGTGTCGCTTCTTGTCGCAAACTAGAATGTTCCGTCGATCCCACTCATCTTTATAATGACAATGATAATGATAATAATATTTGGCCATTATAATTTTTCCTGTTTAATCTTTAGTGATTTGTAATTGTTATGAATTAATTCTTAAATAGTATGAAAGAAATCACTGTTAGTAGCATTGAAATTCCTGCGTGTTTAGTGAGAAATAATTTTAATGTTCGGAGTCTGATCATTTTGCATAAATGCTGCGTTTAAAACAATATTTTTAAAACAAACAATATTTCTTATAAAAATGTGGCTTATATTTAAAGAAAAAGTTTATTTAAATAAATATAGTGAGGAAAAAGGCACACTGTTGATATGAGTCAGAAAGAAAGCTTTTGAGCAACTGGACGTGGGAAATACAATTTTTAGATGGTATAATTAATATCCAATGAGACAAAAGAATATCCATAAAATTGAAGAGCAAAAGTAAATCCTTGTCCTCGAATGCAATGATAAAAGTTCTGAAATAAAGCAAACTGTTGAAATTTAAAATAAATTATAAGCTTTTATTTAAAAGAAAAAAAAATTTCTCAGTAGCATAAATTTTTCTAGAGTAATTGTAATCTTAGCTGCGTTTTTATGAAAGTTTTATAGCTTTGAAATTTAATTACTTTTTGATTTCAGTTTCAAAAATGCTTTTCAACACTTTCTGGCTTTAAAATATGAGAGTTAAAAAAGTAATTACTGTTTTCAAATTTTTCTGCATTTTCGATAAAATGGGAAAAAAATTTTCAGAAAGTAAACCAAGTGATTTTAAAAGTCATATTAAATAGTGAGAATTATATGCTCAAATACAAGCAATATTGTTTGCTATGTACTGTAAAGTCGTCTAGTTTAATTTAAGTGAACAGCTAGTAAATGTATTTTTATTTATCCATCAATCTTCAAGATTGTTTTAATCTAATTTTCTAAAGCTGTTATAAGGCTACGGAATATGTTAGATTTCAAAGCGGAACAATTGTTTTGTATGAGAAATTAATGGGGCTGTGTTTTTAATAATATTTTTTTTCATGCAATTGTTTTAATTGATAATAATTGTTGACTAATTTCTTGAGGAAGTATTTAAAAGGCTATATTTCCATAACTCATGAAGAAGTCTAATTCACATTTGAATTGCTTAAATTCTGCTAAAAAATTTCTATCATACAAACCACTAATTATACTTTTATTAAACAGTTACGAAGTGATTTTAAAAAAGTAAAGTTTTGGCTATTTTCAGATTTCTTTAAAACCATAATTAATATTTAAAAGTAATCATTTTAGCAAATATAAGCAATAATTCTTGCGATCACATGTATGCATAAAAACAAAATATACATATCATCGTTGCAGAGTTCTGTATTTTACGGAAATAATCAACTCATGTATTAAATGAATATGAAACATAATTTGAGGCAACCGAAATTAGTA